CAGATGGCGGTAGAGAGGCCCATGGGAACTGACTGTGCACAGTCTCTTGGGACTAAGAGTGCACCCCAGGTGTTCCTGATGTCCACCGGGAGTCAGCAAATGTCATGTTTTCTCTGTGATTCTTGATCTCATAGGAAGCTAGAAAGCCAGTGGAGCCCCTGAGATTGCCTCCCTAACTGCTGGAGTCCGGGTCAGTGAGTGTGGTTTCTATCTTGAAGTGAATTTAAATCCAGATTTTATCAGGGGTGTGTGATGGGACCAGGCTGTCCCCATGTTGACCCACCGGGCAATCCCTGAAGGTGCAACTCACTGCCTCTTGGACACTTTCAGACTTCCAAATCAGGGACAAAGGTGTGAAGGGGGACAGGGGACATCAAATGAGCTTCCTCACCAGGAAGGAGTCTGTAGAGAGGCCCTCCCACCCTGTGGATCACCCCTGACAGATACTGTTGATGTTGTCCTTACCAGAGACAGCTAGACCAGGCTTCCAGAATATATAGTGCATTTCGAAGTAATTTTGGAAAATAGGATATGGGAATTAAAATGGCTTTTTTCTTTTTTGTCATAGTCTCATTATGTAGCTCTGGCTGGCTGGGAATTTGCTATGTAGACCAATGAAGACCAGGCTGGCATCTAACTCGTAAAGATCCACCTGCCTGCCTCTACCTCCCAATTGCTGGGATTAAAGGCACTCCACCTAACCATTCTATCGTCCTTTACCTTCAGTTGTATGCTTGCTTGGATAGTTTTCCCCAAATTCATGTGCACATGGAGCCTCAGACTGTGACTTGATTTGGAAGTCGGACTTTGATGGGTATATAGGGAGCTAAAGTGAGGCCACAGGGGATGTGGGTGGCCATAAGCGAGCATGACTGCTGTTCTTCTACGAAGAGTGAAGCTTGGACTCAGACTAGAGAGACAGGAGAGTTGCTATGCGAACCAAGGAGCCCCAAGCACTGCCCGAAAGCAGCAGACTAGAGGAGTGACTTCCGGGAGTCTTCAGAAGGACTTGGCAGGCAGGAAGATGTATCCTATGTAAAAAGACAATGAAGCAAAATCCAGGTTTTCTTAAATCTTCCCTTGAGCCAGAGCAGGAGGATAGCAAGAGTAACTTGTCAGTCTCTGAAGCTGCATATCCTGGCTATTTCCCACGCTCTCCAGTCTCAGCCAACCATTGATCAGAAAGTCTGTAAAAGACACAGTCCACTGGATTGCTCTGACTACCAGGCCGACCACCCCAAGGCCACTCAGGACTCAAGGCCATTTTCCATGCAAGTGGGGTTTGCATCATCTCTCCCTCAGCCCAGTCTCCCCTGGGTCTAACCTCGAGCAGGGAGGCACATTAGCTGAGATTCAGTCATTTCAAACACCCACTCACTGTAAGAGAGCCAAGGTGGGGCCATGGGTACCCACGGCTTGTGATCCTTGGCTAGCGGTTGGAGGATACCCCAGCATCTTTTCACTACTGCAGAGCTCACACAGGATCCAGAAAGCTCTTCAGCTGTCTTTTTTTAGAGGCTCCAGAGCAGATCTTGTTGCTTGGGGACCAAATTTAAATTTCAATGGAATGGAATTCCTATCTCTAGAGACTTCTGCTCTTGGAGATTTAAAGTCCCTTCTAGGGCTGGTGAGATGACTCAGTGGTTAAGAGTACAGACTGCTCTTCAGGAGGCCATGAGTTGAAATCCCAGCAACCACATGGTGGCTCACAACCATCCATAGTGAGATTTGATGCCCTCATATGGTTGTCTGAAGACAGTTACAGTGTACTTTGGGCCAGAATGAGCAGGGCCCTGAGCGAGCCAGAGTGGAGCAAGAGGGAGAAGGAAAGGGGGAAAATTAGTAATAATATATATATATATATATATATATATATATATATATATATATATATACATATATAAAACAAAGTCCTTTCTAACAGGTGGTCTATTGTAGGCAGAACCTGGGCTAAAGACAAGGTGGCTTAATTTCTGCACCCCTGCCCCATCCCCCCTCCGTGCCCACCCCCCAGCCTGGTTTCCCTCCAGCCTGGTTTTCACCTCACTCCCCTGCAGCCTTTGTGGCTTCAGCAACTGCTTTCCCCATCTGTTCCTGCCTCCTGCCTCCTGCCTCCTGCCTCCTGCCTCCTGCCTCCT